TATCTGTTTAATTTAAATAAAGCTGTTCGACACTTATAAAACATTGTTATCATTTAATTTTACCTTACTTATTTTGTACATCTATTAGTTAATACAATTTCAATTGTAAATTTGCCAAATTTGCAGATCACTAGTTAATAATAGAGTATATGAAAATAATTTTACTCATATAATTAATATATCTATGATTATATGTTTACAATGACTACTATTAATACTATGATGAGTTATAAATACAAATACATTTTATTAACAAATCGCCAATATCTCAATACATGAAAACTTAGATGTTACCGTCTTGATGGTCTACTAACTTGCAAGCCGACTTAACCTGTTAATCACATGGCGTATAAAACCTAATCAGAACAAATCTGCACACACAACTTTTATTTATAATTTTTTCTATCTACTGGACTTGATACATTATTAACATAAATTGTGTAGTCATGCAATAAAACAAAGTGACACGAACCACATTGTCATATTTTGAATCCGAAAAAATTCATTAGTAAATTAAATATAACAAATATTTATAAAAATATATCGAATATTAAAATAGGATATTATTATTTAACTAACAATTTAAGCATATATATATAAAAAAAAAATAAATACAATAGAACATCGATTAGCCGTCCCCATCGAGACCATGATTGTGACGGTTAACCGAATAGAAGATTAACAGAAATTTTGTAACAAACATATAAAAGACATATTAAATAAAACAAATTTATATTTTTTATACTAAAATATTCCAACAGTTTCAATATAAAGTACATTCATTTAAATTATAAAAAATAATCAATCATTTTTTTTGGTTTTTTCCAAGATATTAAAACGACAATGTTGCGTATTTTACGAAGAAGTAAGACCTGTGTTTTATTTGTCTACTCTTGTACTTCAAATCAGACTAGGTACTTTGATAACATGGCCTCTACTCTAGAGTGGTTTGTAGTCTGGTTTAATTTGTTACTAATCTTCGACGGCAATAACGTTGTAATGTATGTATTACTCGGTACTCTCTTCGCATCCTTAACCCTCAGGTTGGCGAGTAAAAAGCAAAAAATGAACCGTTTGCGAATTAATACAACTCCCACACTCGATTCGCATTCACTTTGTAAGCGCAGAACTAATATACAGAATATTAGTTTTTAAATAATCCCACTACTGAAATGTTAAAAATAACTATACTATGAAACAGACACAATAATACACTACTGAAGAAGAAACACAATCTTTATTAAGGAATATTGCAAAAATACAAATTTATACGTTTAACACAAAAACATTTCACTAAGACCGCCACACAGGCACACACACACTGTTTTCTTTTTCTTTACCCGTTCCCCTGAAGACACTCAATCTCTATTTCCCCTCTACGTATCATTGATGACAGTTGTAAATAAGCTGATAATCATTCAACATTTCACAAAGCCTTCGTCGTGTATTTCATATCCTAACCAACCTGTTAATTATCCTGTTGTTGATACATCATTGTTTATTCCATTGCATAGTTGTACAATTTCGTCAAAACTTACAGTCTCGATTTCTTCAGATGTCAACGTTATTGGTTCAGCCAATAGTTTATTTCGTCCATTCTTCAAGTTAGACATTCTAAGATCAGATCCATTGGTGGTTATCGGGATATGTGATGGCTTACGGGGACTTAGCCCTTTTGAAATAATTATTCGTAATTGAATCCATCCCCCCCCCCCGTAAATTGTAAAAACTAATGGTTTTAAACATGCAAAATATATTGCTCTATAATAGGTATATTAATTCTATATAAACTTCATATTATGTTTCCCAAAATGCATATTTTACTTAAAAAAATTATATGTTAAGCCGGGTTCCCTATGATGGAATAGAGTCAACTCGTCTATTTGGGCAGAATAATTTTCCAAATATCTAAAACTTCTTTTAAATCCTTACTTAATTTAAAAAAAACATATTAATAAACCGAAATCATTCAATTTATATAGTTTTCAAAATTCAAGGATTTCGTGGTATGTAAATATATGGTAAATTTTTCAATAAAGAGTATTCAGTGTTTTTGTAATTTATAATATATTTTAGAATATATGATTAGTTATACATATAAAAAAAAAATGACAATGCAAAATATGAATATTTAAAGTCGTTGAACATCAATTTTGATTCTTTGAATTTTGTAATAATATATTGTATCACAATATAATACAAAGAAACTATTTTGTTATGGATGCTTCTGGTCTATCAATACCGTTCATAAAGATTTCATTATTATTCGAGAACGAATTGGATATACCTTTCCGACATATTTATGTACAAGTATAGAAACTTTGAACGTGCGGTCAATGTATAGGACTGGACCATTATGACAATCATATCGTGTCTTGAGCGATACTTATTGGATATAACGGCAGTTCAAGAAGTAAAGTGGGGCGGAACTGGTAGTATAAGATCCCAAGGAATCACAAATTTTTACAGTGGCGGATAAAAACACGAAAGGGTAGTAGTCTTTGTTATTAAAGACAAAGTTTTACCAGGTTTTGTCAAGTTTGAACCAATAAGTGATAGAATATGTTATGTAGAGTATAATGCAAATGGCTTAATATTATAATAGTAAATTGCTACGCACCTACAGAGGATAAAAATGAAGAATTAAAAAATGCTTTCTATGATGAACTGGACAGATAATGTAATGTATTACCGTCAGGAAAGCCATATATCAATATTGGTAACTCAAGACCTATACGTACGTATATCCTATGGATAAAGGTTATAAAAATAATTTCAATTTAAGATAACAATGATTAAAAATTATTTTTAGTTCATTTTTTTTTTAATTATCGAAACAAAATAAAATTTATTGGATAATTAAGTCATACTAATAAACAAAATATATAGACTTGAATTAACAAAAGTATGTCCAATAAAAATACTAATAACAATTAAATAATGGTCAAGGATACCAAAAGAAAATATGAGTAGGAGGTCTAAGATAATACATATGAATCCATAAGTCATAATAGAAATAGAAACGTGTAAATTAAGACAGATCCAATTAATATGATATCAGCCTAATAAATGATCTTTTATTTACACACAGCATTTTGCACACATAAAGTTAAAACAGTGAGTGGTGATTTATAGCTATTGTATAGATTTAATTGTCTATAGACAGACTAGCATCAGAACGGCCTTTATATTTTGTGAGTTCAATAACTACACTTGGTCGATGTAGTTTAAACATAATGCTCACATAGGCAGTATTTAAGAGTTCAATTCAGAACAAATTCACATATCAGATATTAACTGAATCAAATCATTTAAATAAAATAAATAACATTTATACATAATATTAAATAATTAATTTAATAATGTACCAACAGAAGAAAATAGGAGTGTAACGTGGACATGACAGATCCATTGCACGTGTCAGGGTAAAATGGACATGTCACCAATATCAATGAGTATCCTCTACATAAATGTAGAGGAACCATTAAGATGTTCACCATATCCACCCTGACCACACCCGAGGACCTGTCAGCTCACGGAAGATGAAGAAAGAAAAATTAAAGAAACAGAAAGAATTGACCATATAACATAATTTCAAACCATAGTTACAATCCATATGGTCATTAACTAAAATAAGAGAATATGACCAATAGTCAACTAACTCATAAAAAACAATGAATTAATTTACATGTGCACACTGTGCAAGACAAAATATAAAAAAAAAACATAATATACTACATTACAATAATACGATGTTACTAATAACTCAATCTAAACTAGATGTTGCCACTATAAGGGAATATATTAAAAGTCTAATTAACATAACAATTTATTTAGTAATCAAAGACTGACCTAACACAATGAAAATAAATCATCATTGAATCAAAGTAGGGCACTAATTTAAATAATCTAATCACCTTATAATAAGTAATTAAAACTGAGAAGATATAACTATTAATTTCTTAATAAATTATTTTTTTTTAGTTAATTTCAACGAAAACTGTGTTTTATTGTCCATGCAAATACCTAAGTTTTTTGAAATATTCAACAAAGAAACAAATAATTTGTTTCTTTTGAATATGGTAACTAGTGTACTTATTACACTAGTCTCCATAGTCAAAATAAAATAATTTAAATATGTGCAAATAGTGTATGAGATTCAATTATAGAAGACATTTATAGACAGACTATTAGTATAATGCGTGAGCAACATAATAAATTAAAAAATCAGCATTAATAAAAAAATATACAATTAATAAACACTAATATTACTTTAAAATTTTTGTTTAATTTTTAGAAGTTATAAAGAAGAACAAATGTTTTATATTATGTTGAAGCTAAAGCTCAAATAATTTACAATCCTATGATAGTGTTGATGTCATGTCTGAAAAATTAATAGAGTCAATTAAAACTAAGAATTAAATGTCACGTGCAATTTTTACTCATTGCATGGTTCATAGAATAAATCTTTTGGTTGCAGATATGTGCATCATTTTTAAAGTAATAATCAATATTAATAAATTATGTTTATTTTATTAAAATATTATTTTGTAATAATTAAAAATTATAAAAAAAAACTTTTAGTTTTTAACACAATTGAGTGTATATAAGTTCATTTTTCTCATCCCCAAAAGAATTGTCATTTAGATGAATTGCAAAACAACTTGGGTATAAACACAATATCTATGGGCGCATTAGTAATACTAGATGGAATTGTTGATTTAAAAACTGTGAAGCCATTAAACAATGTTTTAAGAGTATTCTTATTGTATTTAAAAGATAAATAGAAAATGAAGCTGATGTCAATGAAGTAAAAGGTATGATTCATAAACTAATATAGTTTTTAATCTAATTGATGTAAATTTCATTAATTGTTGTTTTGTTAGAAATACTCTCAACAATTACAAAAGGATGGCTCCTTTTTTATTATACTTTTGTTCATCATGCACAACATCTTGTGTTTCATATATATAGTAAGCAATATTTTTCAAAATAAAAATATGATTCTAAATTATTATATATTTATGTTATATATAATATAAATATTTTTTATTTAAAATAATATTAGCCACAAGGGACCAATTTTTATTATATTTTATTTCAAGTAGGGCCTAAAAGAAAAAAACAACAGCCAAATCATTTGGATCGGATTATAGTAAACACTACTAAACACTACAGATGCAATATCTAAAATAATGCGCGAACACATAATAAAAGCTGAAGATTATTACTGAATCAATATATATATTATAAAATCCTAGATTCATTTTAACAACATTTAAAATTTGAAAACAAAGTCGATTTTCCATAGAGAATATGCCTCTTGCTGATGAAGTTGATGAATTTATAAAACTAAATTATATTAAAATATTCAGTTCATTGATTATTTTAAGGTATTTTATCTTCTTATGTTTTAGTGAGTTATTGCAAAATTACAAATGTACTTTTATATTATACATATAAACATGTAATATAATTTTTATCTATTATTATAAATGACAATATTTCATTGTAGGTTTTACCAGGTTTAAACATTTGCCAATATAGCTTGAAATCAGAAATAATGGTGACTAAAAACTGCCTTGCTAACATAGAAAAAGAAATATTGAAGATTTTAAAAAGAATATCACTCTTCAAGTATTGCCTAATTTTTATAAAATGTTCCAACTTGCTATTTCACTTCTAGTTAGTTCTGCAACGTGCAAGAGAAATTTCTTAGCAATGAAACAAGAAAAATTAAACAGTAAAAATATGCAATGTGTTTCATATTTTAATTTTGTGGTAAGAGGTGTGAGGCCAAAGGCAATATTCAATTTTAAATTTTGGCAACCATTCCAGAAATGATCTCTCTGTCAGTTGTGACGCGATTAAACTCTGATGAACTCTTTCCATACCATTCCCTTAGATTAAGAAGCCATGATTTTTTTTCTTCTTTCAGGGCATTTTTTCCATATATTTTCCCTTGCAAAATGGCTTTAAGTATTGAATACCTACTTTTATTTGTCACTATGTGACCCAGATATTGAAGCTTTCTTATCTTTATGGTGTTTATTTACACTGGGGAGGTACCCAAAAATATTTTCAACAATATTAAATAGTTTTTTTTCCTCATTATTTTTTACTAATTTAAAATAAAAGTAGTGTTATGAATTTAACTTAATTTTTTTTTCTCAACATAATAAATATAAATATATTTTTAAACCTTTGTAATTTTGTAACAGGAAAATTAAAAACCTAGTACAGGGGGGTCGCGGCACAGTAGTCACGTGGCATAGTTAAATCAAGTATAATGATATATGACAGTGATTAAAATCACTATAAAAAAAAAAACGCTTCGATGCAAATCTTTAGATAGTGTTTAATTTTAAAAAATTGGTGTATTATTCCAATAGCTACATGATCTGCTAGTTCCTTATTAATATCCTGATTAAGATATAGTATATCAATTGAAAAATAGATTATTAAAAAATATTATTTCTCATAAAAAATTGTATTGATCCATATATTTTTCAAAAAGTTATAGCACTTTAAAGTAAAAAATGTAAATTATAAAATCGAGAATTTTCACTCAAAAATAGCATTCGGTAGCCGTTTTCACCATAAAGACAAGTCCAGATTTAAAGATTTACCAAAACAAAATTCACTTTAAAATTTCTGAGTGTTATTTAATTCTTTAAGGAAAAATGAATTAAAAAAATCGATTAAGTCCCAGAGAGTGAAATCTTGAGTAGTGTCGTAGATTTTGTGTATTATAAAATCACCGAAAGAACTGATTTTAATAGGAAAAAATGAGTTTTTATAGTAGACAAGGGTCGTGTAGCGATCCCTAGTGTGATCTTGGAAACTGTAGATCTTAATAGTTATATGAGACTGGCTGGACTTAATTGAGAACCCACATATAGGCGTTACTTAGAATATGTACAATAATCAGATATAATTGCCTAGTTTATTAATTATATTATGTTCTAAATAAGGGAACCCTATTTTGGTGATCATGTGAATTCATAACATAGATATACACGTACAAAAGATAACATACTATAATATTCTAATATTATAAGTGATAGTATAATATTACATTTTCTTCCCTCCAAAAAATTAATTTTATTTCTTCTTAATAGTTTTTAACAGCTCAAGCAAGTAAAGAAAAGAGCTGTTAGCACTAAGTGAGTTATTTACTTACTATTGTTGTATTTAAATATCACTTTGATGTATTTAAATTATGGAACAATCTTTTTGCTCTAACTTATAGTTATAGTAGTTCAATAATAACGCAAAATGTAGTTAATAAAGGTATAATCAATCAAAATAAAACATATAAAATATTGATACACTTAAAACCGGATAAATAAATAATACACAAAATAAAAACTTAATGTCACAAGCGTATCACGCGGAAAGAGATTACCTTCGGTACTCCCGAGGTCTTCTCTTTCTCTCCCCCTTCAATTCATTCTATTTCATCTTATATACTAACATATTTTGTTTTTCTTTTTATAAAATTCATATAGTAATCATTTTCAAAAATGTTTATAAATATTTACTTCCTGATAGTAACAATAATTCGGGAATTACAATTAATCTAAACATTACAAAAGTGTTCTACTTCTAGGTTTACAAATAATAGACTATATTATATTTTTGTAATAATAGATCAAGAAATTCATAGTTAAACCAAACATTACAAAAATGCTTTGTTTTCAATTTTACAAAATAATGACCTATATTACACTATTCATCTTAATATTGTAGATAAGATAATCAGTATGTATTGTTCAAAACGAACGGTGTTTATTAAATTTATTAAACAATTAAAACAAAATGAATAAAATATCTTTAATAGTTAATAAATATTAAATTGCTTTTAGATTAAAATCGGATATAAACAACCTCAAAAAATCTATACTAATTATGCTGAAAACTTAGAAATTGTTTATGCATTTAAGAGGAAAGCAGTTGTCGTAACTCAAAAATGTAAATGAAAAAAAATATTAGAATAAATAGATGAAAAAGGGTTAGAATGATTATTTTTGTTGTTGTTAGAAAATGTGTAAGTGAGAGTTACTTTTTATTCGGGGTGTGATTCGAGGGTCATAAAATAACGATGTAAAAAATCTTACCTGGTAAAATTCTCTGGTTCTTATAATTATCCTTAGTGATGATATCGGTGAAAATGATAAATAAATACACAAGTTCAGATTTTTAGTTCACAAATTAACATATAAAATTTTGACAATGACGATTACGACGTTCGCACAACTTAATGCGGACCACGATAAAAACAGCGCGATACGGACCACGAAATGAACAGCCCAATACGGAGCATGAAAGGAACAGCTAGGAGCAAGGGTTTGCTCTGGCTTTTTATAATATTTTTTTACCCCCAAAAATCGTCACTGTCGAATTTTTAGTATAATTGTTTATTGATAAATAAGCATGAAACAGAGATCAATACAGATGAATAGAACATAAATTATTTTGACATTTACATATATAACATTAACATGTTTTTTAACAAGCAAGACGAAAATTGATACAATGCATTTAACTATTAATAGTAAAATAACAAAGATGACAAAAATAATATATAGATTTTCTTTTGGTGAGGAAGTATTTTAAAAGTAATTATTAATTGATTTATGACCGAACAGCATGTATTACAATGTAGTTATCGAAAAGGATCATGTCCTTGTAAAAATATAATGTATAATGAAACAAGTTAAAATGTACCATTTCTATGGATAGAAGTGGTGACTATTTGAAATGAAAAAAGAATATACTAATAAATACTAAAAAGATAGCATTGTTGAGTACATGAACAGGGTATTTTAGTGTTGTCTCGTATAAATAATCGTGACGATTATATTACGACACAGTGGCCTGCGATGATATTTTATGATGGGTATGCGCTAAAATACAATTTCAAGTTAAAACAAAAAAAAAGGTATTTTATTAATAAAAATTATAATCTAAAATTTATTTATAGATAAAATCCATTCGTCTTTCTTGTTTCAAAAATTCATTTATAACTTTATCATAAAATTCTGGATTAATTTTTTCTTTATGCAAAAGTCCATTTAAGATTGAAATTAATGATAATGAACTAAGTCTTTCTTGTCCTTGTGTAGATTTTTGATACGATTTGAGTCGTTTTAACGCCGAAAAAGATCATTCAACTGAAGCTGTTGTACTAAGAATAGTTAAAATTTGTTGACCGAGTTTAAATACTCCTTGGAACGCCGATATTATATCATTCATCTTAATTTTTTTGACTAAATCATATGGATTAGTATTTGAAAATTCTTCAGATGTGTATAATACAATTAATTCGTTATGTAATCTAATATAATCAAACATTTTTCCGAAATTTGACTCTCAAAAGTTTTCTAGCGCAGAATTTGGAATTTCGTTCGTGTAGTTTGAATATTTATTTGGGTCAGTTAATGATAAAAATTCGAATTTATTTAGAGAACCAAATCGTGCTTGCAAATTTGTTAATATGTTATCAAATATTTCATTAAAAAGTACTTTGTGAAATGTTTTCGGGTCACGTATTTTACGTTGTAGCTCAAAATCGCCTTTATCTAATAAAACTGTTTCCCATAATGTTTCAAATAGATTTAACCTATAATTTTGCAGTTGACATTTAGTTTCTCCAATTTTTTTCACACAGTATAAAAAACCCAGCACAGGGGGGTCGCGGCACAGTAGTGACGTGGTATAGATGGATCAAGTATAATGATATCTGACAGTGATTAAAATCACTATCAAAAAAAAAACGCTTCGATGCAAATCTTTAGATAGTGTTTAATTTTAAAAAATTGGTGGATTATTCCAAAAGCTACATGATCTGCTAGTTCATTATTAATATCCTAATTAAGATAAATATGTCAAATAAAAAAGGGATTATTAAAAAATATTATTTCTCATAAAAAAATAATGTTGATCCATACACTTTTCAATATGTCATAGCGTTATAAAGTTAAAAATGTAAAAAATAAAATCGAGAATTTTCATACAATAATAGCATTTGGTAGCCATTTTCACTGAGAAGATAAAATAAAGTCCGAAATTTTTTTTTCGCATAATAAAATAAATTACATTTAAAAATAAATTAGCTTTAATTTAAGATATATATAAAAGTATCAGACTTTCCGGAACACTTTCAAAATTTAAGTTGAAAAAGTAAATTTTTTGTGAAAAAGTTGTCATTTTAAATCCCCCCTGTGGGCAGGTAAAGGGTTAGATATAAAAAAATATATATACCAAATGATAGATAAAGACATCATGCATCTATAAAAAAAAATTATATTGATTCATACATTTTTC